ACTTATTCTCTGCATTTTAACCACTTGTGGATCTCTGTAATAGTCTCTGTCTGCTGCAAAATGAAGCTTCATTAATGAAGGATGAGAGTTGTACTTATTATGGATATAAGTATTCAGAATACAGTTAGAAGCTATAATAATTTAGAAAAATGATAATAGTAGGTTCTACTCTATGGTCTATGACCTCTCCAAATCCTCTGACTGAAATATATAGTGTCTTCATTAGCTAGTTTTTTTATACAAAAAGTCTAGGACTACCTGTCTAGGAATGGCACCACCCACAGTAGTCTGGGTCCTCTCACATCAATTAGCAATCAAGAAAATCCCCCACAGGGGCTGGAGAGATGGCTTAGCGGTTAAGAGTACTCTGGCAGAAGACCCCAGTTTGATTCCCAGGACCCACACTGTTACTAACAACCATCCATAACTCCAGTTCCAGAGGATTCCAACGCCATCTTCTGACCTTTGCCACCATTGCACAACATGGGTATACTTACACACATGCAGGCAATCTACCCATACACATAAAATTAAAATAATAAATAGTTTTTTAAATCCCCCACAAACATACACACTGGCAAATGAATCTAGGCAATCACTCAATTGAGACTCCCTTTTCCAGTGACTGTAGGCTGAGTCAAGTTGACAGTTAAAATTAACTAGGACACCTGTGAACTTAAAATGACCACTTCACAATCACATAATGAACTTTTAGAATTAGTGCCTACTTTCCTTAAACTTATCAATTAAAGCTCCTTACCAGAAACCTATCTGGATAGTACACTGGCCTCAATGAAGGGTGTTGGTACACTGGTCCCCTCCTTCTCTCTCCTTACTTGGGTTTCCTGACCTTCATGTATGCAATTTTTAGGCTTTCCACGTGACTTCTAGGAAACAACCTAAATGCCCCTCAACTAATGAATAGATGATGAAAATGTGGTACATTTAAACAATGGAGGTCTACTCAGTAGTAAAGAAAAAAAATCATGAAATTTTTAGGTAAATGAATGGAAATAAAAACTGTTACACTAAGTGAAGTAGCAACACAGACTCAGAAAAACAAGCGATACATGGTCTCTCTCCTTTGTAGATCCTTGCTCCAAATCCTAGATATGAGTATATATCTACTTATCTTAGAAGCTTCTTGCTTCAACAGTTGGAGGCTATTTCAGTGTTCTACAACTGGTCACATGCAGAGAATAAGTGTCTGTGAGGTGCCCGGCTGTAAGTGACACATCTACAATGCAATGTCTATACCTAAAGCTCAGGGAACATAGCAGAACAGGGGCAGAAAGAATGTATCTTTCAACTCTCACCAGAAAAGCTTCTTTGTGCAACAGATGGTGATTAATCCAGAAATCCACAATTCTCTTTGGTGCAGAGAATAAAAGACTGCAGAGTGCTTATCCCTTAATATGACACCTGTATCAAATCTCTGGCACCAAGGGCTCAGGGATCATTTTGGAAGAGGAGGCAGAAAGATTGTAAGTGTCAAAGGTTGTTAATGACCACAAGGAAACAGCATTTTCCAGGCAGCTGGAAACTTGTTCATAAGAACTTACAGCAAATGGTGACAGCATGCACAAGACCCATGCAAGCTCAAGCCAGACAAAATCTTAGCATAGAAGTGGGGAAGTTGGTAAGAAGCCCCAAACTTAGATGAGAATCTACTGAAAACTGTTAACTTCTAGGAGAGGAAGAGTTGGTTTTCTTTAAGGGTATGACACTAGATAGGTTAACCAGGCTCACACACGTACACACACTGAAGGACATCTAGAGACACAAAGTTGACATGATGGCCCTTAATATATATTATATATTTATTATATTATACATATATGGGGTGCAGATAGGGGAGGGAGTATAAATACAATAAAAATATATTGCATGAAATTCGCAAAACTTCAATTTAAAAAGGAAGAAAAAAATCATGAGAGCACTAAACTCATTAATAAGTTACTCCATTGATGAAGTAATACTAAAGGGGTTATTAGGAGGTGGAGCCTGGTTGACTGGAGATGTGACTTTGAGGTATATTATCTTACTCTGGATCCTTCCTGTCTATCTCTGCTTTGTGGATACCCACTGAGGTGAGCAATTTTTTTCTCTGCCATAGGCTCCTTCTGACATCATGTTCTGCCTTGCCACAGGTATACAGCAACAGCTGACCATAGACTAAAACCTTGAAATTGTGAGGCAAAATAAATTCTTACTTCTGTAAGCTGTTTATCTTAGGAACGCTGCTGAAAAATGAAAAACCTAACAGGCACTTATTTCTCATTCACAAGGGCAGAGCCCTCATGATGCTCAAGGCCACATTTTGTAATACTGTTGTTGCACTGGGGATTAAGTTTTAAACACCAACTTTGGAGGGGCCAACAACGGTCAAATCACAGCAGTTAGAAATCCTTCCAAAGTGATGTCCAGCTTTAAAGAGTCCAGAAAGACCATGGGAAGAGCCTTAAACAGGCACCATGGAGCAGTTCTGGATCTACCTAGCAAAGGCTCTGGCTGTCATGGAAACTGGACTATGAAACTAAATATCTGAAACTAAATAGTCTCTGATTTATCTTTCCTTCCCCAGTCCTTTGCCCATGTGCCAAAATAAGGACATCGGAGTCAGGAAAAAAAAAATTACAAGAAAGTTTTCCTTAATGTTTCTACCACACAGGGCATTCAGCCAATAAGCCCACTCCCTCCATGGCCACCTTAACCTTTAACCTTTTAGCTACCGCTGCTGATGGGTAGGCCACAGGTTGATCACAGTCCCTGTTTATTTCTGTTCTTGGGTGGCTAAATGCTATAATGGATGGTCAATTTGTTTATTATGATCATCTTAACTACTATGCAAAGATTACAATCTAATGCTTATTCTTATTTCAGGGTCCTACGGGCCTGAAGTTTATTACTGGCCAACATACAAATAATAAAAGCAGTATGTTTATGTCAAAACATGAGACCATGTCTCTTGATTATAGTTTCCAAAGGTCATGTGAGTACATAAGAAAAAGGCAGCCATGTGTAAATCAGAAAGAGACCTCAGCAGAATCAGACCAGGCCAATACCTTGATTTCTGACTTCAAGCACCAAGTTGTGGCATAACCCGCACAGTCTGTCATACCATCCTTAACAGACTAAGCCCCCATCCATGATTCCTTCTTTAGCCTAAGTCACCATATGCATTCTACCAGCATTATTTTGTCTTCCCTTCTTTCAAATTACACTCTGAACTTGGTTGTTTCTTAGCACTTTCACTCTTACTACCAATAACCAACCTGTTATCAGCTCTTCCCAGAGCCCCAGAAGTAGCTAAGCCTCAGCTTTCATTCCTGCCTCTTCCTATCCATTAGTGTTTTGAAAACCAGCATCAGATCATCTCCATGATTAAAAATAAATACGACAGTTTTCAAATTTATTACCATAGCTTTCAAGACTTTACCTACTGTCTGTCCCCTGCTAAAAATCATCCAAAATCTTTTGAAGCATCTCCTCTCTTCAGTCTTCCATAATTCCATTATATAGCCTCTCTAGAATATACAAAACATTCCCAACTTGGGAATCTTTGTCCAACATTCCACTTGAATCATTCTTGCTTATCCTTCAGGTTCTATTCCAAATTCTTTCCCTGGAATGACTTCCCATAGCCTAGAACCAAAATTAGAATCCTTTATATTTTTTCTACTTGTACCATGATTCTTATATTGACACACCACCATTTTTGTATTTATTGGTTTATTTTCTGTCTCAACAATTGAGTAGAGTATTTCACGAGGGTAAGGAAAGCATGGTTTTGCTCACTGATATATTCCCAGCAACTAACCTAGGGTTTAACTGAAGTAAGTGTCCAGTTAACATGTGCTGAGTAAGTGTATAAATGAATAAACCCTATGAGGTTGATGTTATCTAATAGTACTGTAGTGATTTACTTAGTGCCATATGGCTAGCAAGGAGCCATAAATGGGTAAGGCTCCAGAACTGCAGTTCCTAGGTGAACACACAACCTATTACAGAAGACTTAGCTAACAGGATGATTATAAAGGGGAGTGGACATGAAGTATGGAACAGGCAGGTGAGAATACTCCAAACCATGGATCTTCAAGATGTTCCCAAGGGTGAAGGGATGGAAATGCGTAAGATGCACATTCTATATTTACATTTGTTGAAGGATTTTTCCTGTACTTACAGGCTGCTGAAAGACTGTCCTGTTAGGAAGGATAACAACAACAGAGTGCAATGCTTCTCTGAGGGCAGATTATTTTGTTGCAAGGAGATAAGTTTAAAAATAGAGCAGCTGCAAGAGGGCATTCCTTCCAATGGAGAAAAAGAATACATGTGGAGCTGAGGAGACGGTTCAGTCCATAAAGTGGTTGGCACAAGTATGAGGACCAGAGTTCAGATCCCCAGCACGCGTGTAAAAGCAGCACAGCAGCTTGTCCCTGCAATCCCAGTGCAGGGGAGGGAGGGAAAGGCGGATCTTTGGAGCTCTTTGGCCAACCAGCCTAGCCAAATTGATGAACTCAAGATTGAGTGAGAGCCTCTGTCTCAAAAACTATGGTGGAGAGTGATAGAAGAACACAATCAACATCAATTTCTGGACTGTAAATGCCAGGTGTGCACATATCCACACAAAAATGAAATGTAGTACATGCGTACGCACACACACACAGGGTGCAGGTACAGGTGGCACGGGTATGTCAGGAACATGCTCACATAGGAGTATGACATGGTGACACGGGAACCCTGCAGGGTGTACATACACTGTCCCAAACTGCATATTACTCATGCCCCACCACAGGCTTCCTATCACTTTACAAACCCACATAAAGCTAGAGATGGCCATTTGTAGAAAGCAAGTAGACAAAGATTGAGTGAAGAATCATGACAGCCTGGAGGAGCCTCTGGCAAACACAGCACAACACAGGACCAATTCGACAGCAGAGGGCGCCTGAGGACCTCTCCTCAAGGGCCATGTGAAGACACTGGCAGGTTCAGCTCCCTACCTGAGTTAGTTGATTGACAAGTAGTATGGTATGCCAATGACTGCCTTTCTGAAAAATATAATCCTTCTTCTTGCCGTCTTCTGAGTTCACTATGTTTCCCTGTAAGATATTGTAAATGGTTCTATAATATCTGTAAACTAAAGCAGGTTATCACCATTATTATCATTAATCACGTATATAGGTAACAGGTAATTTTTAGAACAGATTCCAAAAATTCAGAAGAATGTGGGAGTGGAGAGTGAAGAATCTGCTTGTATTTCTATTTTTTTTTACATCGTAGAGTGTAACATTTCAACATATTATGCTTGTCTGATGTACTGATTAAAACTTCTCTTTCAGGGGATTGGCCCTTACTTTTCCAGGGTGGACTACTTTTTTTTATCTTCACACTTTTTATTAAAACCTGATTCAGCTTACATAAAATGGATCATTTATAAATATGACTGCATAGAAATGAAATATTTTAATATCTATACGATAGAGATAAAAGATAAAAGAAAAATTACCTACTAAAAACTTGAAATAAGAGAAAAGACTACTTTTTTTCCTTCTCAAAACACTGATAGAAAGGAAATAATGGGAATAGCAATTTCACATATCAAAGAAAACAGAAAAGGGTATGAAAGAGACCATTTGTCACATTCAAATCTCCATATAACATCTGTCTTTTTTTAAAAAAAGAACTGTACTAAGTCAGGTGTGGTGACACACCTTTAATCCTAGCACTCAGGAGGCAGAGGCAGGCAGATCTCTCTTAGTTCAAGGCCAGCCTGGTCTACATAGTGAGCTCCAGACCAGCTGGGTCAACAGGGAGCTCCTGTTTCAGAAAAAAAAAAAAAAAGAACTGCAGTGCACTAAAAATGAGATTCATTCGGCCATCAAACATTAGAAGTGAAAGGAACCTGCAAAATGAAACTGCATTCTTAGAATTATGTATGTGCAACTGGAAGCTCAAATGCTAAATGAGTTGATAAAGCTCACAGTACACTTGAGTGCAGACTAGGGCTGAGTTCCATTCCATAGCTCAAAAACAAAACAGCACATCTTGAGGAAAGGGTAGTGGTATGAGTACTACAGAGTTTATTCTATTCTTTAGCACATTGTGGGAAGCTAAAATATTAAATTACCTAGAGTATTGCTACTACAAGATGATCATTCTTAGTATTTTGTTTGAGCCCAGGCTGGCCTGGACTTGTGATTCTTCTGGCTCAGTCCTCAAGCGTGCCTTGAAGTGTGGAATACCATGCACAGCCATTATTAGTATTTTTGCTACACAATTTTGCAGAGATGGTATTACATGAATACTGGTAAAACTCTTATATTTGCTAATATTGCCTTATACTATCCATACTTATTTGTAATATAATTCCTAGCAGACAGACAATATCAGTGAATTGTTGTAATAATTTAACCAGCCCCTTATTGGTAGACATTGCTTTCTTTTCAAATGTTTAAAAAAGATACTGTAGTAGCCATTCCTGTTCATACAGCTGGTGTGATGTGTGGCATACTACTGATTAATGTGAATTTTTGTAGCAATATAATGTAATGATAAAGATTGTGTTTGAACTCTGGCTCTGGAAATGACTGTCTTTACAGAAGCCACAACCTTTCTGGACTTCAAATTCATCATCTGCAAGCGAAGTAATTATACATTAATAGCCTAGGGATGTTGAGAGGATTAAATGAGAAAATATATGTGAAATAATTAATTAATACCTAGAACACAGCAAATCCAAAATCAGTATTAGTAATCTTTATTACTGTAACTCCTTAAGAAGACTGGCTCCTCAAAACATCCATAATTTTCCATTACTCTCCAAAGAGAATAACCAAAGTTTTATAAAGATGTATTTAGGTCTTTAATAAACTAAACTAATATTCTCATTTTTTGTAACTTAGTTTATCCAGAGGAAAACAGTAAATTTAAATTATGTGTGGGAGCTTGAGCAATTTACCAGGATCTAGTAAAAACATAATGGCAGTCAAAACAAAAAGTATAGCTTGTCATTGAAAGTTCTTAAGTAAAATCCACTTGAGGGATGGGAAGATGGGATACAAGGATGAGGACCTGCATTGGAAGCCCCAGAACCCATGTAAAGCTGGGCATGCTACTGCATATCTGTAATCTCAATGATTCTACAGTGAGAAGAAGGCAATAACAGGAGAATCCCAGAAGCTCACAGGCCAGGTAGCCTGGCGTCTACAGTAGCAATCAACAAAATGACACACTGTCTTAGGGTGGAAGGAAAGGACCGACACTGGAGGCTGTCCTCTGATCTCCACACGTGTGCTGCAGAACACGCACCCCCCCATACACACACGGCACACTCACACACACACCCACAACATCATACAAACACATTTTTTAAAAAAACAAATTGTTTTTTTCTGATTCTTTCCTCTTTGGAAAATGCTCAATACATATCTTATCCTACAAAAATGAGCAGAATATCTTTGCAATCCCCTATCAAACTTCCCAATACCACAAATATTTTACTTTTCTCTATTATCTGCACCCACACACAATTGTACTCTTAATAGGTATAGCTGATATCACAGAAGCAGACGTTGTTGCCTTTGAAACTTGTGGGTGGGGGGAAGTGTTATGTGTGTGATGTATGTGTGCACGCGTACATGCAGGTATACCTGCACGTGTGCATAAATGCAGGTGTACACATGTGTGTTTGAGGGTGCATGCACATTTGCACATATGTGAAGAGGCCAGAGGTTGTTACCACGTATCTTCTTCAGTAGTTCTCTACCTTTTTTATGTTTTTGAAACAGGGTCTCTCACTCAACCTGGAACTCACTGATTTGGCTACAATGGGTGGCCAGTGGGTCCCAGGGATCCACCTGTCTCTATGCCCCCAATGATGGGATTATAGACATATGCTGTCATGCCTGGCTTTTTGTATGGGTGCTGGGGATCAGAGCTCAGGTCCTCATACTCGTGTGGCCAGCACTGTACCAAATGAGCTTTTAGTTCTTTTAATCTGGCAAGATATCCATGTGTCACACAGACAAGTAATTCATAATAGCTAAGAAATAGAACCAGCTGACAAAGAAAATGTAACAAACACAAGGAAATTTTATTCAACCATAAAGAAAAATGAAATAATAACATTGCAGGAAAATGTATGGAACTGAAATTATGTTAAGCAAAGTAACACATACTGACAAAGACAAATACTACATCTTTTTTCTCATATGCAGAACCTAGATTTTAATTTTGGTATATGTGTATATATGTCGGGGTATGGGTTATGAAACTAAAAAAAATGAACCAGGAGAGGAAAAAAGAGGTCTCTGGGGAGGGAAGGGGAAATATAATGAAAGAGGGTAATAGGATACATGTTTCATGAAAGCAGAAGGGGGTGGGGGTATGGGAGAGAGAGGAAAGGAACCAGCAGGAGGGGGGGACAGGGAGACTGGGTAGTGGGGAAAGAAATTACCAAAAACAAAATGTGTATGAAAATGTCATAATGAAACCCATTACTTTGTATGCTAATTAAAAAACTAATAGCTGGGTGTGGTGGTGCACACCTTAAGGTTCAGTACTCTGGAGGCAGAGGCGCAGGCAGGCAGATCTCTGTGAGATGGAGGCCAGTGTGATTTATATTGAGAATTCTAGGCCATCTGGGAATACAGGGGGAACTCAGTCTTAAACAAACAAACAAACAAAACACACACACACACACACACACACACACACACACACACTCCTTTCTGCTAAACTGAAGTAATAAAACCTAATTTCAACATTCAGGAGATTCCCAAGGGTATTTGAGGAAAACCTAGTCTATGAGAAGTGGTTGCCAAAGGTGGAAAATGCCAAGAAAGACTACTACAAAAGAGGTAGAAAAATCCAGGACAGTGCAGGATGCAACTTAGTAGAAGATTGCAGATGGAAGTGAATGTCTGACAGCAGCAAGACAGGATGTTCCTCACACCTAGTGCTGGATGAATGGGTTTATAAACTCAGCCAGATAAACATGACCTTCAGGCAACCAGAATGTACCTGGCCATCTCAGTGAAATAAAAAAACACCTATTAATGTGTCAAACATCAGTAAAAAACATCCAGGAGTCAATGTCCAGCACAAAATGTTTGGCTGAGGATCTTGTTTGGAATGCTTGCCAAGTCAGGTGAAAGGACAGTTATGGTCAGGTGGCTACTGTTATATCATCCTGGGTCAACAGGATATGTGTAAAACACTCCTGAAGAACCATAGAGTCCTCAACTTGTGAAGGTCTGACCACTGGTACATTTGAATCCCACTTCCCAAAATAAACTTTATTATGCTGACTTTCTTAATATTATATGCAGAAAGATCTTAAATTCTGTAATAGGAAAGTCAAAGCGAGGAATCAGGCAGGGACAGGAGGCCAGGAGTATCATAATTTGCAGTTTGGGGACTTTCAAAGGCATTACATATGATGTAAATCCCATAACCAGCATACTAAGAGGATACTAAGGCCTATTAAAGCATTCTGCCAGGAATTTAGGGAGAAGACCTTGTAATAAAATACCTAGTTCTACTTTTGTCTTGCAGGAACTGGTGATATAAACAGTCTCCTAGTTGAGGATGGAGCTGGCAGGGTCAACCCAACCCACCAGTCTGGGCAACATCATCTGTTAGAATCCTGTACCTGTAAGTAGGGAGAATAAGGTTAGATGACAATGTCTTGATCTAAGGAATATTTCAAGAACTGGAACAGATTAGGTGATGCAGAATTAGCAATGGGATGCATCATCTTCTACAAACTACTAGACAATTGTGAGTTTTCATGAATTTGAACTCAGATAGGCTAAACTTTCCATAACACTAAAAGACAGAATATCAAGGTAGCTTCCACAGCTTCAGCAACTCTTATGTCCCAGTAAGACAAGCCCCAGGCATCCCATGCCATACAATATTAACTCTCAAGAGATTTCAGTGACTAAACTGCCTCTTGATAATCATGCTTTAAGGAAAATGTCTATCTCAAAATCCAATATAAATTAGTTAAATCAAAATAAGGTTTTTGAAATAAGAGGCTTTTAAAGGGAAAAAAGTCCAGTTTTTTTCCTCTAGCCTCATACACAGCCAAAATTCAACATAGAACACGTTTTTATTTTTATTAAATTTTTGTGATTTTCATACAATATAGTTTGATAATAGATGGTATTTACACCCCTTCCCCTATCTGCACTACCTCCCACTGCCCCCCCAACACAATCTATAGACTGAATATATATATTCAGCCTATAGATTCTGACACAAGGTTCTCGAGCACATACCCACTGGGTGCCATATAATTTAATTCAACTCTAGCACTATATACGTGGAAATAACATCAAATCTCATGGGTTAAAGGTTCAGTTCCATAGGAGGTGTGTTTAGCAGTCTAGAAGTTCATCACATCTACCTCAAGATTTGTATAGAACCTAAATCCTAATCTCAGCATGCCTGCTCCTGCAAACTGGTGGGTGCGGCTAAAAGTTGCGAACTTTTAAGCCTCTAATCATTTGATCTTTCAGTTAAGCAGCCCCCATCTTTGGTTATCTAGGGTTCTCTACCTAAGTCACTTTGTTAGCATAAAATCTAGTGTGATCAAAAGTAGCTTTTTATAAAAAAGACATTCCTAGCCAGGCATGGCGGTGCATGCCTTTAATCCCAGAACTCAGGAGGCAGAAGCTAGTGGATGTCTATAAGTATGATGCCAGCCTGGTCTATTTAGAGAGTTCCAGGCCAGGCAGAGCTGTATAGTGAGACCTTGTCCCTTCCCCACAACTCAAAAAGACACTCCTATTACTAAGGAAATTCCTTAGGAATTCTATGACAGGAAGCATGGACAAAAAAAATATATTCTTATACTACAAGGCTATTTCCCAAAGTATGACTTCAAAAGGGATCCAGTTTATTTTGAAGATTTATTTTATATTTAATTATGTGTATGTGTGTGCATGCAAACGCATGTGCACATGAGTGCAGGAACCCATAGAAGCCAGAACAGAGTATCAGATCCCTTGGAGCTGGAACTATAGGCACTTATAAGCTGCGTGACGTGGGTGCTGGGAATTGAGTTCAAGTCCTCTGCAAGAGCAGTACTCTTTAATGATTAAAGCTTTCTCTCCATCCCCAGGATCCAGCTACTACAATGCTTGGCTTCACCCAGTATCAGGTGGCAGGCACTACCTCTAGGAAAGAGAGGACAGAATAGCTGGAAAGATGATGACTGGCTATAAGGACTCTTAATATTTCTTAAATCCACTTACCAGGCATAGGCAGCATTAACAAGGACACAGTCAGTACAACACATCCAAGACCTGGGGAAAAAAAGGAAATATAAAAGTGGGTATATAGAAACAAAGCCATAATCTGATCGCAGAGCTAGGCAATAGTCTATGCTCATTAAGGATGAGTTCAAGGGAGAAGGCGCAGTATTCATTTTCCTAAGCTATTTTAGCAATAAGGAAATAGCTTCTCCCATCATGGTTTAAATTTTCAATAGCATATAGATTTGGATGTTGTATTTTTCTATTAAGATACAAAGTGTTCCATTAATGCAATAAGTATTAGAAATGATGAGCCACTCAACATGTTTTACACACTGACCCGCTTAGAAAGTGATTTTTTGTAAAAATTTATTTTATAACCTGAAATTTTTATTTTTCATTTTTTAAACTATATCACTCAAATATTATAGTGTTATTTAATAGGTAAATTGTTTTGCTATGCATAAAGTATTTTTGTTTTGTTTTAATGTAGAAGGGTTTTTTTTTCTTTTTGAGACAAGGTCTCCCTCTAACCCCAGTTGTCCTGGAACTAACTATGTAGACCAAGCTGGCCTTGAACTCACAGTCATCTGCCTACCCCTGCCTCCCAAGTGCTATGATTAAAGGTATGCACCACTATATTCAGCAAAGGTTTTTTTGTGTGTGTTTTTTGTTTTGTGATTTTAGCAGTTGCCTTAGTCTGGTAACCCTAAAACAATTTTTTTTTCATTTGAACATTTTAGGTTTTCCTTTTAATTTTTATTGAACTTTTGTGATTTTCATACAATATAGCTTGATGATATTCAGGTCCCTTCCCCAATCCACACCTCCCTCCACTGCTCCCTGCTCAATATGTATAATATGGCCTATAAATACACACTTTAAAAAAAAAAGGATGCAAATTATTCAATACATTAAGTCGATCTTTTTTGGTTCCTGCTGAGAATTTTGTTTAAGAACAGGAAAGACCAAAAGGTGGAGATGTCAAAGGATTTAGTTTCCAGAAATCTGCTACCTACTGCCAAGGTATACTGCATGATTCAGATCTAGGCTGGGCCCTAAAATATTACCCTTGTTCTGGAAACCAACCGAAGTTATATTCTGGTACACTGCAGCCCTAAACACATAGGGTGCCCATGCCATCCTTGCATCATCTGTCCCTGCTTCATCTGCTCATGCCTTCCATTGTCTTGTTTTTTGGTATGGATCTGTGTCATCAGGGTTCATTTAGTGGTCACCATTTGTGTGTGTGTGCATGTGTGTGTGTGCGTGTGTGTGTGTTCATATAGGTACAAATTCATGTATACACATACATACATACACACAGAGAGAGAGAGAGAGAGAGAGAGAGAGAGAGAGGCATATATGTAGGCCAGAGGTCAACCTCCACTGTTGTTCCTCAGGTTCTATTCACCTTATTTTTTGAGAGAGTGTCCCTCCCTAGCCTAGGCTCACTGACAAGGCAAGAATGGCTCGGCAGAAAATCCAAAAGATCCATTTGTCTTTGCCTCCCCAGCACTGGGATATGAACCATCATACATGGATATTTTTGTGGGTTCTGGGGATTGAATTTGGGTTCTTGTACTTGCAAGGCAAGACCTTTACCAACTGAACTATCTCACCAGCTAACTAAGGTCTGCTTTTTTGATTGTTTGGTTTGGGGTTTTAAATTTTATTTATTATTTTTATTTTATGTGTACATGTTTATTGCCTGCATGTATGTAAGTACACCCAAGTCGTGCAATCCCTGTGGACAGAAGAAGGTGCCAGATCCCCTGGAACTGGAGTTACAGACAGTTGTTAGCTAACATGTGGGTGTTGGGATTCGAGCCTGGGTCTTCTGCAAGAACAGCCAGTGCTTTTAACCACTGAGCCATCTTTACAGCCCCTAAGGTCTGTTTTTTTATGACTTTTCTAAAGTGTTTTTCTGCCAGATTCAAATTCTGCATAGCAGTTTTCAAATATATATTAAGTAAACTGAATAAAGAAAAAAAGTTAATTGTGTTTTATATTTGCAATAAAGATGTGAAATTTCTTTTTTTGTGTGTGCCAAATGAGATATGGAAAACATTTGCTGATGAGAAAGCTATTCAGGCATAAGTACAACAAAGTCACATTTCATGAACTCCCTGAGTCACTGTCAATAGGCTCTACATATTTCAGATTCATACATGTGCAAAATGGGACAGGGAAAGTCTCTCGTAAGAGAACAGTCTGTTTCAAGACAGACTGATTTCCATTTGGCTAACTTTTTAAAAGACCTCTTACCAGGCAGGCATAGGCAGCATCAACAACATGGACACACACAGCACAATTCATTAGCTACACTTCATCCAAGACCTGGAAGAAATGAAGGAATCATAAAAGTGGGAAGTTCAAGCACACCTCTAAACTCTAAAGGAAACTTCTAAGACGTTACTCATAGGATTTTATGGAAAGACGGCAGCCAAATAGTCATCTGCTAAATTCTAAATTGAATTCATTACCCTCCTCTTTTGCAGAAGACATCAGGAAACATGAGCCATTCACATCCAGAAATCCTGTTGTTTTAACAGAAACTCAAGAAGAGACTATCAAAGCCAAAGGAGTCAACTCCAAATGGATCAAAGACCTCAATATAAAACCCGAAACTCTGAAACTGCTAGAAGAAAACACAGGCAGTACCCTCCAAGATATAGGTGTAGGAAAGGACTTTCTAAATCAGACATCAGTTGCCCAGGGATTAACATCAATAATCAACAAGTGGAACCTCATTAAATTACAAACCTTCCATACAGCAAAAGAAGCAACCAAGGAAATGAAGAGGAAACCCACTAAGTGGGAGAAAATCTTCACCTGCTACACATCTGACAGAGAATTAATATCCAGAATATACAAAGAACTCAAAAAAAACAAAGATTAACAAGAAAATAAATGACCCAATTAAAAGATGGGCTATGGCTCTGAACAGAGCTCTCAAATGAAGAGATAAAAATGGCTAAAAAACACCTTAAAAATTGCTCAACATCCTTAGTAATTAGAGAAATCCAAATAAAAACCACTTTAAGATTCCATATTATCCCAATCAGATTGGCTAAGATCCAAAGAACAAAAGACACCAAATGCTGACAAGGATGTGGAGAAAACGGAATTCTCATTCACTGCTGTTAGCACCTAC